TCACTTCAATTGTTTACGATACTTAACTGTAGAATCTTGGTAAGGCTTAAAACAAATGACAAGTTAGGCCCTTTGATGTTTACAAGAATGTTACAAAAGGCGTAACAAAAGGGAAGGGCGATAACTTAACAAGCTTGTAATAAATAAACCCGTGTGAATATCACGCGACACCGGGTCATGGAAACTTGTTTTCAATACAACTATGGCAATTTGAGTAATAAATATTGGAGCATTTTATCACACATGATAGCCTGCAAAGCTGTTAGATAGCACGACTGGGAAGTAACATCCATTCCATTGCATAATAAGTTGATTTGAATCATCTTCACTTTCAGAACAGTTGTAAAAAATTAAATGGGCACGGGATCAAAGCCGTTGATCGACTAAGGTGTCAGAATGAAATATTACCCGATTTACCACGGACCATGAGAAAACTTCAACACATTAAAATTTAGACTCATGTAGGTTTTTATAAAAAAAATTATAAGGGGAAAATCTGGACTTGCATTTTACTTGACATATCGAGAAAATTGAGAAATCGAAATTCAACTCATACGAGTTCTACTTGTCTTACATTGTAGAGTTAGTAAATTGATAATAAAAAATAAAAAATCTTTATTATGAATCTTTTAAAACAATTGATTAATTTATAATACCAAAATAATAAATTCCTGAAAGTTCTTTGGTGGACAGATTTTTGTTGTTGTAATGTCTTGTTGATAATTGAACACAGTCATCTATAACATTGATTAAGTTTAATTTATATCATGACCAGTAGACTAAAGGCAGTAGTTATGTGTATTTTAAGAAGTTTTTTACTAGATCAATATTGAGACAATTGGCCTTTTTTCAATGTAAGATTATGAGCAAAAGTCCTCTAGGCTCTTTGACATTTCTGTAAAAAATTGCCTGTAATAAATTCTCTGCAGAAAACCCTGATTTTGGAACAATGTATGCCATTTGATTTTCTATTTACTGTCAATGGCTTTCATTTTACTAATCATTTGAAATATGAATAATTTTCAGAAATTGCAAATTTTTTGCACATACAGAACTTACTCTCTTAAAGATAATTTGAAGTTGTTGATTCAATTTACCTTGTGAAACTGACATTGTACAATATTATGTTTGTACCTCTGTGAATGGTTAAGGTTTCTGACCTCAAATCACTCTCCCTATGTGATGTTGTTGATAAGAATCCTGTCGGGGGGGGGGAAACTTAATTTGAATTCCCATGAGGAAACTATCAGTAAGCTTATAATAGGTTGGTTGTTCTATCACTATAATCAGGTTGCAAGCTTGTGTCAGTATTGTAAACCTTGAGAGTGGCAATACAACCTTGTTTGGATACTCTTGAAATGAAGGGACTAAACAATGAATTTGGAGTTGTGTGGCATGTTTGGCCTAAATGCGAAAAGACAAACGAATACAAATTTTAGATCAGCATTAAATATTTACATAAAACAAAAGCAAAAGTGACTTAAAACATTTTTTTCAATTATTTTGTTAAAAATAATGTCAAAAATACTTCACAACTAACAAAATCATTGATTTTATGGATAAAAAATCTGTTTTTGGAGTGTTAAAAAAAAAGTTTGAAAATAAAAAATTTTCACCTCTTTTGTCATTTTATTTTTATTTTGTGGTCGACTGATAAAAAAATTGAATTTTATTTTTATTTTTATTTATCCCCCCCGACCCAATTTTTAAAAAAAATATCCCGTAAAACATTTAATAAAAAAATGTTGGCCTTATGTTGAAAAAAAAAAAATGTTATGTTATGTTAATGTTGGTCGGCCAGTCCATTGGTAGACCTCAGTTATTATCTTAAAAACTATTAATCACAGAGTCTTCATATTTTACATACTATTGGTCATAACTATAGTAGATGAAACCTATTGATTTCAGGGTCACTTTGTCAAAGGTCAAGGTCACAGGGACCCTAAATGTCAGAATGGTTTCCGCTCATTATCTTGATAACTATTTCTCACAAAGTCTTAATATTTCCAAATTAATTAGTCATATGTAGTAGATGACACCTATGATTTTGTGGTCACTAGTTCAAAGGTCAAGGTCACAGGGGCCTTAAATGTCGGAATGGTTTAAGCTCATTATCTTTAAAACTATCTATCACTAAGTCATTATATTTCACATATTGATTGGTCATAAGTAGTAGATGACCCTATCAATTTTTGGGTCTTTTAGGTCAATGGTCAAGGTCACAGGGACCTTAAGTATGTTTGTTTATCCGTCGTTAGACCACATTGTTTCTGCTGATTATCTTAAAAGCTATTTATCAAAAAGGCTTTATATTTCATATACTGATTGGTCATAACTATTAGATAACATATATCGATTTTGGGGTAACTAGCTTAACGGTCAAAGTTGCAGGTGTTTTAAATTTCGGAATCGTTTCCGCTCATTATCTTGAAAACTATTTATTAGAAAATCTTTATATTTCACATATTGATTTGTCATAACTAGAAAATGACCCTTTTTGATTTTGGAGTCACTAGGTCAAAGGTCAAGGTCACAGTGACTTGAATGTCAAAATAGTATCCGCACAATATCTTGAAAAGTATTTTTCACAAAGTTTTCCTATTTCATGTGTTGATAAGTCATATGTGGTAAATGACCCTTATTGATTTTGGGGTCACCAGCTTAAAGGTAACAGGGTCCTTAAATGTCAGAATGGTTTGCGTTCATTATTTTGAAAACTATTAACCATTATTTGAGAACTATTTATCACTAAACCTTTTATATTCCACTTATTGATTGGTTATAATTAGTAGATGACCCCTGTCGATTTTGAGGTCTTTAGGTCAAAGGTCACAAGGACGTTAAATGTCAGAATGGTTTCTACTTATTATCTTCAAAACTACCCGTTATCAAGTTTTTGTGTTTCACATTTTAATTGTTCATAACTAGTAGAGGGCCCCTGTTGATTTTGAGGTCACTAGATCAGAGGACAAGGTTACAATAACCTTGAATGTTCAAAGTAGATGCTCATAGTTACATTTACATGATAGTATATAATTTATTCAAGCTATTCTCCATTTTGTTTAACTTACTAATGATAGATTTCATTCAATTTCAGCTAGAAAGGGGGGGGGCATATATGTCATTATGATATTTCTTGTTTTATTTATTTATTTTATCTTATATTTTATTCATTTTTTAAAATTAAAGTGGCTTTAAGGGTATGTTCTATATCTTACGAAATATTTAAATATTTATTAACAGCAAAATTATGCTGGTTCCATTATTATATGGTTGACTCCTGAAAAAGTAATGTAACATAGAATATCACTGTTATTAAATACAAATGAATCTTGTAAGTAAACAGGAACACAATACTGTTTTGCTATATTAGCCATTCGCGTTTAAGGCAATAAATTACAATATTTATTTCACACAATAATTTTGGAAGTATACTTTTTTAAAATTTTAACAATAATTTTTGCATCAGATATATAGCTTTATACACTTAAGTTTCAGAAATATGACACAGTCACTACAAACACATGTAGTATGCAAACACATCTTGAGCTATAGCCAAAAAAAAAAAATATGTGAGCTCTAGTCAACATTTGAATTATTTGAGCTGCCTGGTAATTGTTTTGAGAAATAACACTCTATGCAATGTTGTTCAACATTGTGCTTTACAATCTTAACAGTATGAAACTTTTGTATTGTAATGATGATTTTTGTACTGTCCGTCAAGTATAGCTAATGTTTTGATAGGTATTATTACGCCTAACAAGAACATAAGTTTCGCCAGATATATTCTACTCGTCGTGATTGAATTATGTGCCACATGTCTTTAAAAACTGACCAGGCTTGGCAATTTCTAATCATCAAGGCCAGGA